CTGTATTACTCTCTCTCGCCCCGTGTACCGCCCTGGGGCGGGCGCGCCCCGTTAAGGGGTAACTTTCAAACATGACCAATAAAATTCACTTCAATATAGGTTCCTGTTCTCTGTGCCTTGTGCTTTTGTAAACTGTATCGATCTCTCTCACGAGGGAACCACCCAAAGTGTCAAGAAAGCTTTTCAGTCGGGGATATGATGGTTAGATAAGGCATAGCTAGAAGTGGTATACCCTAAGTTAGTTCGGGCGCAAGTTGCTTCTAGCAGGAGTTATGAATCTTGCAAGTTATTAAGCGAAATTTCCTGTTTTGCTGCTGAATGCTAGTTTTCTTGAAGAAATAACAGCATATTGGACTGAAGTTTCTCTCATAACTATGTCGACTAATGGTCTTGTTCATTCCAAAGTTCAAGCACAAAAGAATATAGATATGAAAAGAAAGACAATTTTCAAGACTTTTCATGTTTTACTGCTTGATGACAAACGAATCATCTAAGCAATTTTTTTCAGACTATTCTCGAGTTAAACTAGACTCTTTGTTGAAGACATATAAACTTGTTCTCTTCTTTTTTTCTTTCATCTGAGAAATATGCTTTTTTAAATGGTGTTAGATTTTATCTTCGTATATGTTTGCGTGAGTATTAGAAAAAAGAACAACAAAAGTGTGACAAAAATGATTAAAACGCGGTGAATGATTATATAAATCAGACACCATGACTATGATAATTAACGAAAAAGTCATGTAAACATAATATTTTTTTCCAATAGCTACATCGAATGAACGCGAATTGCTCACAAGTAGAGGTGTAAGCCGAAGAGTCAAGCGGCGGCGGCTGTTTTAATGGTCCAATTTTTTTTCTATGGCGGCGGCGGCTACTATATTTTATATTTTTCTGCACCGGCTGCGGCTTTGACAACCAAAAAAAAGCAAAAAAAAACGTTTTTGCTCCTAAAAATATCAGTGGCGGAGGCGCATCGTACTATTATCAAAAATTTTCGTTCGTGGCGGCGGCTAAAAAATTCGTAAAACTATCTCCGATTCCGTGGCGGAGGCGGCTGATTTTGGAAAAAAATCGGCAGCGGCGGCACAGCTGGATGGCTTACACCTTTACTCACAAGAAGGCATGTCACAATAGTCTTGTTTAAATTTAAAACATATTTCGGTCACTGTTTGAAACGGTCCAGAATCAATATCAGTATAACCACTTTTAAACCATGCGTAGTGTATCATAGGCGTACAAACAGGAGATGAAAGCTGATTATGAATAAGAATTGTAAACAGATGATATTATTTCTTTGCGCAAGATGAATGTCTATTTCGTGAAGAAGAACCCGCTCGTAAACCTTACGTGTGATTACTTTCCACTGCCGATTGAAGAACACATCTAAAGGCTGGATTTTGAAAGTCGATTTCCATGAAATCTCTAGCCGTTTCAACCCTTTTATTGATTCATAGATGCCTTTCCGATCAGTCTGTCCAGAACAACTGTCGGAAATAAGTAACGCTTTGTGTGAAGACAAGGAAGGAATGAGACATTTATCACGCCAGTATTCAACTAAGGACGTAGTTAATTTACCTGATGCACTGCATGTAACGACAACATTTTTTATCTGTGGAATATTTGCACTAATGTTCTCGTTCATTCGACCATTTATCTCTTTGAGACAGATAGATGGGACCGACGATTTCGCCACTCATACTTATTGTCGGTGTAACTGTATAGCTATGAGTAGTTGCATTTCTCGAGCGTACAGTAGCAAGCGTTGTCTTCTCGCCTCGATGAGACAATGTTGGGGTTGAGGGAAACTCGAGCTGAAATCCTGACTGATCTGTATTCAAAACGAAATCTTCATTGTAATGAGGCACTAATGATTCAACTTGCGTGACAAATTGTTCAGCTGACCTTTTAATTTCAGTCTCATCTATTAATTCACGTTTTGTAACTACCTGAAAAAGAAAAACGATATTCAAATACTAATATATAATTTTATGCATCCGTATGCTGGCTACGAAACAGGTCCTAACCTTTATAATTTTTCTTGAACAAATATTATTCTTGTGCTTAAAACTTAAGATCCAATGATCAGATACCACAAAATCGCGCAATAAGATCATTCTAGCTTTTTGTAGGACCCAGCGTTTTAAGTCTATATCGTGAACTGGCCACAGAAGATTTCGGGCGCGCTCGAAGTTGTCATAAACATAATCATCTAATAAATATATTCTTTGTTTCTTCGTACCTCCTTGTTCGACATAATTTCGAAAATGCGCCATATACGATTGGTGAGTAATTCGTTTAAATTTGTTTTGGACGCTTTTCCACGTGTACGGTCATTTTCCAGTTTTGGGATTTATTGCATCATAATAAGCAAGTGCTCGTTTCATGTACGACAAAGAAAATGGCTCAAACACCGGTTTCTCTTCATCTTTTTCATCATAATCTGGATCATCAGATGCATTATCAGGTTCGTCTTTGCACTCATCTGTTTCATTGCCTGATGTATTATGATCCAGAGTTGTTTCGCCTTCTTGATTATACGAAGTGCTTGTCCATATTGATTGGAATACATCGAATAATTGATTAGCAAGTTCTTCTTCTTGAAATGAACTAAGTGATGATGAAACCGGAAGTTCTTTAGAAGTTCGTTCTCGAAACAACTGTATTATTTGATTTACTTCACCCATAGTCTGTTTTTTAAATTATAATATGCTATGTGATCTATTTTTTCTACTTTCTCGATTAATTTTTCTTTTTCTCTTATCTTCTGCGCTGTTACAGGCATATCATAACAATGGCAGTAAGTGATAAATGAAAATAGTTAATATCATGTTCTCTCCATTTTTTCTGTTTAATATTCGTGCAAACATATACGAAGATAAAATCTAACACCATTTAAAAAAGCATATTTCTCAGATGAATGAAAAAAAGAAGAGAACAAGTTTATATGTCTTCAACAAATAGTCTAGTTTAACTCGAGAATAGTCTGAAAAAAATTGCTTAGATGATTCGTTTGTCATCAAGCAGTAAAACATGGAAAGTCTTGAAAATTGTCTTTCTTTTCATATCTATATTCTTTTGTGCTTGAACTTTGGAATGATCAAGACCATTAGTCGACATAGTTATGAGAGAAACTTCAGTCCAATATGCTGTTATTTCTTCAAGAAAACTAGCATTCAGCAGCAAAACAGGAAATTTCGCTTAATAACTTGCAAGATTTATAACTCCTGCTAGAAGCAACTTGCACCCGAACTAACTTAGGGTATACCACTTCTAGCTATGCCTTATCTAACCATCATATCCCCGACTGAAAAGCTTTTTGACACCTTGAGTGGTTCCCTCGTAAGTTCTTCCAAATATGATTTCAAGTGTTATACCAATAAATCAAGCTCATTTTAACAAGAAAGAGCTGAAATTAGATTCTTTTAATTCAGTCTAGCAAACTGATTTTTTCGATTAAAAAGTTAACACTAGATACTTGCTTTTATAAAACTTTCTATCAACTTTAAATCAAATTAATCAATTTAGTCAGAAACCTAACAAGAATCAAAATAATCAGCAAAATGAAAAAATGACTTTTTTGTTACCATTATGGTATATCTAACCCATGTTGCCTCTTCTTTACCAACTGCGGCGCATGGAGTTTAATAAAAAACTTCTATCAGAAACTATGATTCACACGACGCAGATAACCGCAGCTGCGTCGCATTACTCGTATCGCACGATCTACTATAACAGATACCAACAAATTATAAATGATTCCTTCTTAGTTATAATTTGTCATACTCTAGCTCTACGATTTAGTCACACAGGGACTATATAAAAGGAAGCCTCAGTGAGACATCGGCACATAATTCATCCTACTACAACGGATAGAATGCATTTCGAATATAATTTAAAATTTTTTTAAAATGGTTTTCGTTATTATTTTTATTTTTCTAATTTTTAAAATTTTTTTTAAACTATTATTTTTAATTTTTCTAGATTTTTAATTTTTCTATTATTTTTTAATTTTTTTAAAACCCTAGTTTAAAAAATTTTCGTCTTCCATAATTATTTTTAATTTCCTGATTTTTTAAAAATCTGTTTAATTTTTTAATTCCTTTTAAAGTTTTCTATTTTGCAAAAAATTTCTTCATGAGTGATTTTTTTAAATTTGTTAGATTTTTCTAATTTCTTTTTGTTTTTTAAAATGTTTTTGTTATTCACAATAAAAATATTAATAAATTAAAAACCTTACCTAAGTCGTCTCTCTTAGAAGCTGTGACGCAGTTTGATCACAATCGAAGACATGGAAATCCCTTAAGTTGCACGAATAATGTTCTTTTAACAAGCAAGTTCTACCTATAGGCGCGAATTATAAGAAAATACTTACAATCAAGGCATAAAACGTTGAAAACCAGACTTTTTTCAATAATTAATTTTTTGGACCTTTTATTTAAAATTGGCAAAAAGTAAGAAAAGAAATCACTCTTGTCCCATAGCTCATTCGCAAAAGGTCATAATCTACAATCTGCTGCATATAGAATAAAACAGATCAGCATCAACATATAGTGTTATTTTCCAAATAAAATATAATTGTGTTATTGCAAGCTTTCGTTTTCTCGTACTTTTAATTGGCTACCATTTAAATGATCAGTAAAATAGATGAAACGGTCATTAAAAAATGTATAAATGATAAGAATAAATATTAAACAGTCAGTAACCAAATTAACAGTACTTAATTCTATAATGATCAGTACATTCAATATAAGTAGCAGTAAAAGATTTTAATTTATATCAGTAAAAAAACAAAGTTTATCAGTAAAAAAACTTAAGCTTTCCCATTAGAAAATCGAATTATATCATTAGTGAGGCAGATTTAATCTTTGCTAGTGGATCTCCTTTTTGTTTTTTCACTGGTCAGCACTGTTGTTGCTGAAGCTAATGATTTACAATATTTCCAAGGAATGGTTACATCCACAACGTGTTTGCATATATAATTCTTAAAAAAAGTTGGATGGTTACATCTCGATGTTTTCTAATGCGAATTATTTTCCATTTCCATATACCAAATATTAAATGATTTTTTTTGATCGATTAAACTTAGTTCATTTTTTTGTTATGTTTATTTAAATCATCTAGTGTAATCGATTGTAAATCACGAGCTGGTATATAATATTTTTTCAAAGAATCATTTGGTATGCAAATGATATCGCTTATTGATTCAATCCGTTGATGTGATAAAGTCCATAGTTCTAAAGATGTTGTTGGTTCTATAGAAAATATTCTTGGATTAACTGAGAATGAATATCGTTCGTCTGATCAATTATTGATAATATTTGAAGAAATTGTTAATACTCTTGATAAAGGCATGCTGTATCCGAAATGTTCCATTATCCTTGATTATTTTATGTGTTGCTACTATGGCGTTGTCTGTACTTGGCGGATACAGTTGTATAACTTTATACCAAACCCTATTTTATTTGAACCATTCATTATCGAATGCATTTTATCAAGTCAATGTTTTAATGCTCCTTTTCTTGAGGATTCTTTTATTTTCATTTATTTTATGATCTTCTTCCACTAGTTCTTCATCTGATACATTGCTTTCATATTAAGAACCTTGTACCACTTGCATAGTTGTAAATACATCAAATTTTATAAAGACGACATATGTTATTTTTATCTGGAAAGCCCCATATATTTACACATAGGGAAAAATAAAGACAACGATCAGGAAAAAACTCGAAAAACTTCTTTCCCATTGTTTTAGATAGTGAGCAATAAGAAAAATAAAAAGAATAATGCTTTTTATTCACAAAACATGTAAGTTTACATAAGTTCGTTAAAAGAACAAGAATATATATAGAAAAGCTAAAGAAAAAAAAAGCAACTAAAGTGATTCACTCCATAACCCTTTGAGTTTTTATACTAGCCCTTTGAATATGATCTACTCTTAATAAATTGTATTTGCTGATTTTAAAATTTATTTACAAATCCAATTAATTAATAACTGATAGTTTAAATAATTTACTGATCAATGATTAAATTGAATGATTTCATAATTATCTCAATTACTAACCGTAAATTATATTTTCCTTTTAATGGAGTAATTATAGTTTTTGCAGTTTATGTAGTCTTTCTTTGAAATATTTTTAATTCTTTGAAATAATTCAGAGAATGTTTTTTCTTTTTTTTTGTTTGTACACTTATTTAGGCTTCCTGTACGGTTAAGTATCATACTACAATAATATCAATCGATTTTACAGTGAAGAAAGTGGATGGTTAATCACGATAAACTCTACTCTTCACGAGAACTCAGAATCACATAGTGAAGAAATATTAAAGAAAGACATATTCGAGTTCTTCTAATTGTTGTAGAGGATATTTTAAAAAATTAACTAAATTTATATATAAATATGTATCACAGTGTATCTAAGATTTACTCAGTGATGTTTTCATCCCACTGCATCCTTCTCTCTAAACGTACACCAAACTCAAACTACTTTGATCTAATGTATCCATCTTCGTTGGTTAGGATCGATGATTGTCTACTTTCGGCACATTGTATTGGTTTTGCCTTTGTTTTGATCTTTTCTCTTTCGTGTTATATGCATGCTTTCTTTCTTTCTTGTTGTCTTCTTCAAGAGATACACATATTCTTTTCACTGTTTGTTTTTCTAAGCTGAGTTATTTTTCGTTTTGTCATGCTTGTTAGGCGCTTCTTACGTTCTTTATTATGTACGCTTTGACGTTGTGTCGATCCCGGGATAACGTCTACCTTTTACAATAAAGAACATTCGACCAGACATTCATTTTTTTCAACCTTCAAAGTTAACCACTTGAGAAGTTCTCATACTTTCACATTGTGATAGGATAAGTTTGAACGCATCGATTATCTCAATTTATACCATGGAAAACTTTTATATCCATCTCGATCCACTTGTTTTTCACAAGAAATCTCCCAAACTCGCAATTAGTCTAAGGAAAAGTACACTTATTTTTCTATTTCTTGACTCGTTGTGCAGTTTTTTTAGACAAGAGATGTAAGTCTTTCGTTTTCTAATTCAATTTTAAATGGTGAATAATATAATATTATTTATTAAGGTCACAATGATCATATAGTAAATTAACTAACGATCATTAAATTTTCTCTTTCATCATTTTCCTTTCATAACAGAATTATTCCATTTATTTACAACTTGTCCATGTGAAGATCTTAATTGGACTAGGTTACATAAAAATCTTTAGGCTTTTCGAACTAAATCTGTCGAAGATATGAAGCTTCCAAAAAATGCATACGATATATTCTATGTATAGAAAAGAATCTAAAGAGGCATAGTCCGAATACTCTGAAATTTTTCATGAAAACTAGTTTAATTGATATCTTTATATAAGAAACGTTTTAAGTCGATTTTTGTAAACATGGTCTTATTGTAAATGTGGAGTTCTACTTCTGAAATTCACTAAAAATGTTCAATTTTCTAATAAACAAACCATGGTCATGAAGTTTTTTTTATGATAGACATATACTACTGGCCAAAATTATTTCTTCCCTCGAGTCTTAACCACTATGAGAGCTAACTGTCTGAAAATTGAAATACAGGTCGCCCGCAGATAATATAGGTCACCGTTAATATCAGCGTCAAAATCGTTGAAACCAGTATGGACTTATAATAGATGCCATCCACAGTTACTGTGGGTTTCCTAACTTGAGAACAGATAACCTTTTTAAGTTGTCGAATCTACTATGAAACAGCTTCTAAAACTTTTAGAACGATCCATCAAATGTTTGCAAAGTTATTGATGATTCAATAGTATTAAGTGGTTCTTTTTTGTATAACCATTTTTTTAGTTAAAAAAATGGTTTAGACTATCAGTAGCTTGCTGCTCTTCGATAAAATTGATACCAGAAATAACTATAGCTCAGTGCTACAAAACGAGAGATTCCACAACTTGAAAAGCTTCCCATGTCCTTAAAATCGCTAAAAAATCGACGATTTTATCGCGGCTTATTGGGGCGATTAATCGTGAGAGCTTATCACGATACAATCGTTCAAACTGCCGATTTTTACCGATACTTTTTCCGATTTTAAACAAAAATCGCGATTACTATATAATATCCTTATCGACATTGACCAATCAGAGTAGACTTCATGAAACTTTTTATAGGTTAATACTATCGTTTTATATGAGATACATCCAGTTACTTTATTAAGATAATTATTTTCAGCAATACAACTAATCCATGGATGTCACATAAAAAATTCCAAAAAATAACACACAATAACTTAATACACAGTAAAAAATAACATATTTTTTTTTACAAAACAAAGAGTGAAAATCATAAATCATTTTTTTTTCTTTATTGTCCCTAATAACCATTATTATAATCTAATTTTCACATAAAACAATGTTGACTGTATATTGTTCTGTTGATATAATTCATACTAGATCTACTGTTGTTCTGTGTAATTGACTTCCGACATTACTGAAGTTGACATAGTTTGATTGGTGAAAACTATAGAAATGATTAAAATGGTGAAGTATATTTAAGAAACGACGATGCATTACTTGTGTTTGTAGATGTTTTTAACCTTTTTTGTTGATTGCGACGTTTACTTAAAATTGAATCGTGTATTGGAGGCCAAACAAAAGACATTTCATCAGCAGAATAATTGAATTTTCGTTTCACAGCGGCTAAAATAAGTGAAAGAAGGTATTGTCTATTATGGTTCATAGTTGTACTTATGCTTACCATAAATAGATTTTATACGTGGGTCTTCGTCAGCTTTCTTCACATTGATATTTTGAAAATCTTGTTTGTCTGTAAACAAAATATCTATTAACTTTAAAGCGTATTTGATTGTATTTTGTTTATTGCCTGGTACAGACAGTAGTTCTATTACAGAACCATCATTTCTGACAAATGTCTAAACAGGAAAGAACAAATGAATAAGCAAATTACTTTTACCTCAAATAAAAAGATAAAAGAATTCGTTATCAATACAACATACTACATCTTGATTACCGGATTGTTCATCATCAGTTTGAACACTGCTATTGTCATTCTCGAGAGTAATTGGTATCTAAATGAAAACAGTACTTGAAATCTAATAAATATGCTTACATGTCCTCCTTTTACCCTATGCTTAGCCAAACTTTTGGCAAGTTTTTTCTGATTATTACATAATGTATTTAAAAATTTTTCTTGACGATCTAAATTTATTGTTGTTTGTTGTTGATGTTTTTGTAATTTCAATACGTTCGAATTGATTTGTTTTACGTAATCGAATATTTGTTGCAAATTTAAATGATCATCATGTGCATTATGATCATCATCATTAGTCAACAAATGCAAACGCTTAGGAGTCGATGTTTCCTTTTGCTTTACTAAACCTTTTTTCGACTTGGTACCTCCTGTTGCTGATGTTTTAAGATTCCATGATGACTTAACTGTTACATCTAGTTCTTCTTCTGATGAAACTTCTTCACCAACATCATGTAAAAAGGATGAATCATCATCACTTGTTGTTGTATCTAGAAATTTACAAAAACTTATATTAGTTGAAAAGAAAACAAAAGTAATACCTTGCGCACAAATGTTCAACTCTCGCTCATGATTCAATGAATTATTTTTTCGTGTACATGACGAAGCTGCTTGATGAAGAATGTATCCAGGAGATGATGGTATTTCACCTTTTAATCAAAGAAAGAAAGAAAAAAAAACAATTGAATAAATTTTGAACTGATTACTAACCAAATACAACGTTTCGTAAAGAGATTTTGTTGTGCGACGGTGCTAAACAGAAAAGAAAGGGTTGATAAAATCATTTTAAAAAGGATCGTGTATATTCACATGATAGCTGTTGGTTTAGTGATGATTTAGAACTTGATATTGTTGTTGACATAGAATGTTTGACTTTATTCTCTTTTCCATTTTTTAACACCCAATCTTCACAATCGGATGGAATATCTTCATGCATTCGCGATTGTAGGGCTTTCTCTAACAGCTGACCATATCGTTCCATTGATTCTTGAGTACCTAAATAAATAAAAAACACTCTAAGACTTATTTTAACGGAATGAGTACAAAAATACCTGTTTGTTCAACATGAACACTATAACTTTTGCCAAGCTCTTTGATACTACCGTATCCGTGCTCATCGATATCAATCAACCGTTTTGATTCAACAATGCTGTATTTGGATGCTTCATCGATGTAAACAATACAACAAAACATTTTTTCTTCTTGTTCGGAGCGTTGGGAACGATAAGGTCGTCGATAAGCATTCGTTTTCGACAACATCTAAAATAAAGAAAAAAAAATTATCTTTATTTTGTACATATGTGAAGCCTGTTTTTTGTAAATTGAGGAATAGAAAGAAAGGATTGCTTTAATTTGGAAGCAAAGCTGTATTAAAAAAGACTTCAGATTATGTGATTGAATATTTATTTAATCATGTTCATAATTCACGCGTCGTTCACTGATACACTCATAATTTTGAAATTGAACTGATATACACTTAGAAATTATTTTACTAACAGGAAGAGCAACAAAATCATCACTGAGAATGCAAATAGGATAAAATAGATCCACAGTTTTTTTCAACTGATCTGGAATATCGAGATAATCAGATAATTTGACAGCAGCACGTTTATACTGTTGTATAAATGAATACCAAACATTTTCATACAAATAAAAAACAATAATTTTGGCGTACTCGATTTCTTCATTGTTATCAGTATAAGACACTAAGTAACTTGCACAAGAAAAACGTTTGCTGTATAAAAACGAATGATATGTTGAAAAATTATCTTTAAAACGTAGATATAACTTTATCTTGTTCAGGTCTTGTTGTAAATCAGCTAATCGTTTTGTAAATAAATCGTGATATGTAATAAATAAATAACAATCAAGTTTAATTTCATCTACTAATGATGGTAATGGTAATTTATATTCTGTTGTAGGTATAATAGAATCAATATCACACCAATACATCATTTGCGATCCCAGATTTTTTGTTCCGAATGCTTTTTTTTAAAGATGATTGATCATTGATTCGAAACAGAACGATGATGTAAAAGCTAGTCCTCCATGGTCTAGAAAAAGAAATCAAATGATTGTTCCTCATAATTGTTTCTAAAAAAAATCGAAAAATTACGATGATGATAATATTATAACTTACTCCTTACTTGTGCAGGCAAGTGAAGATGAGCATGTAAAGAATATAATTCTATTTTTTTATCGTAAATACTTGATGACGTTTTACAATAGTAGTGGATTAGTTTTTCAGCTAATTGAATTTCTTCTAATGATTTAGGACAATGCAGTATTTTGATAAATAGACAATAGATAGAAAAGTGTGATGAATAAGAAATTGGCAAATATTGAGTCATTATTGGAAGGCCTAAATTCAAGATAAAAAGTCGTACATGTTTCGCTTTCCAATCTTGTATCGATTGAATCGAAAAAATGAATTTAACATTAACATCATGTGGAATTTTAATATGTTTTAAAATAGAGTCGATTTCGGCAACTGTATCTTTTGATATAATTTCAATAAAACGTTTTATTAATGTCGGTACATGATTCAAACATACCAGATGCATATAATCGTATATTATATCTACTGGATAATGAAATATTTTTAGTAAAGATGATAATCCTTTAATACCACTTATTGAAGTACAACGTTTACCACCAATAATCAAATTCTGTTCAACCTGTTTAGCGGTTATGATAAATTCATCATGAGTTCTAGGACGGTAGTTGTTACTTGCATAAGGATAAATAATTTGTTTATTATGTAAAACACCTAAGTAAAAAAAGACAGCAATAAAAGAGATTCATAAAAAACAACATAATCAAATTAATATTGAATCTGAAAAAAATACCTTCAGTTATACAATTTGTACAAGCAAAGTAGCCGTTAAAATTTATTGTTTTCATAAATAACGATTTAGCTGGTAAATCCGATACAAAATATTGAGTCTTGACATTTATTCTAAATTCATGTTCATGAACAAAAATCGACGTACCATGATTTGATAAATTCAATAATTGTTCGATAATACCTTCCAAAAATAAATTCACATTCGGTTTAATAGTTGAAACCCATAAGCCTAAAGTTAATATGTTCGATTGATATTCTCTTACAGGTGGTGGTATCTCAACAATTGCACTGAAACAGGGCCATACTGCTGACTTAGTCGATCGAATTAGAGGTGCACCGTCTGCATGAATGACTAATGTAATTGGATGAAGTGTTTCTTTTGTTTTGATTCCATAACGTTCACCACTTGGTATATCAAATGATGGGAATAGTTTCTCACTTCCAGTGAATAAAGAAAAATTTCTTTTAATAATTGATTGTAATTTCTCTCTTATATTTACAATAACAACTTCTGTTACTTGTTTTTTTGATAATTGAGAGTTGCGAAAACGACAGCTTGTGTTATTACAATAGTGCTGACCATTTTTTCTTGTTGTTAAAGTGAAACAATTGTTGCAATAGAATTTTTCGATAGAAGATGGAGTTTTACCATATGTTCGAAGTATTTGTCGAAACGTTGTCGGTAATTTGTTGGGCGACGGTAAAATAGATTTGATTAGACGCATCATATTAATTACTTTATTTTTGTCGAAGTTTGACTTAATAAAAAATTGCATCAAACGATTGACTGCTTCGTTGGTCGTCACAGTCGCGTGTTCATATAATGGTGGTGAATAGTTATATGGAACTAAATTAGCGGTACCACTATCTATACTATCATAATTATCTGGAACATAGTTCTCTTCAAGAAATTTATCAGTTAGATGATGCGTTGCTATCGATGCTTCATTATCTGTTAAATCATATTCATTGTCATCATATCGATGGATTGTTGAATTTGAATCTGAATCCGAGTCACTACTAATAACATGTTGATAATTGATTTTTTGTTCTTCTCTGTTTAATTTTTGTTGCAAAACTCTATTCGAGTAAATTGCAGGTGAATTTGACATTAATAATAATCAGAAAAAAGAATATCTAGAAATGTATAGAAAATAAGTAGATTATTTGAAATTAGTGCACCAACATTGAGTTGTTATGGTTCAAAGTTGTGCGATTACATTCAATGTAGCATGTAAAATATATTTTTAAACCTAGTCTTAATAAAATTATGGGATGAAAAATAATGAGTAGAATAAGCTTCTGGTAGACGAAAAAAATGAACCAGATTTATCGTGAAATACGAGAAATTATATGAAAATGAAGAGAAAGAAACAGTCGAGAATAATCTTTATTCTTTGTTAACTGACGTATACGAATGTTTCGGACAATGTCCTTAAATTAGTTGGACTGATGAGAAGAACGAAAAAGGAAAACGAAGACGAGAAAATGCATGAAGAGAGAAGAAAAAGAAGAGAAGTAATACACACATGAAGGGAGAAGAGAAAGAAGAGGAAAGATAGTAAACGTCAGATTGGTGCATACGTATAACTAATAAAAAATGACTTTCACCTGCTTATTATGTACGTAATAAAAATTTATATCGAAATTGAAATTGGTCAAACATTTGTACCATATGCTAATCATCGTACTAGATTACACAGTTTGGTGTGACATAGTTCGAATGAACAACAAGAAATTAACAAGTTCATTGTTTTTTATTCATATAAACTGATGACTCAATATAAAATTTGGCGGAAAATTATTTTCTAATATATTATACAATTTTTACGAGAATATTTTCGTTCGAAAAATATCTTTGAATTTCCTGTTTTTTCTGCTCTTAACTGAAGAAATACCCAATAATTGCTTTCTATTTAAGCTGATTTACAATATTTTTATTATTTAAAAATAGGCAGTTTTCTTGAAAGAATCATCAATGTCGAAATAATCGGCGATTTATGATGATGCATCTACCTTATTTGAAAAATCGATGATTAATTGCGATACATCGCCAATACTAAAAAAATCAACGATATATCGCGATTAATCGTTAACTTTTATGAAAATCGCGATAGATCATCAAAAATTAGGCGATTTCGAAGACATGGGTTATCTATTCTCAAGTTACAAGATTCACAGTAACCATGACTATCACCTATTATAACTTCTCTTTAGCTCGAGCAATTTTTTGTACTAATGTTACCGCAGAACTATATTATGTGTAGACTACTTGTACAAGAATTTTCAGACGTTCAGCTTTCATAGGAGCCACGATCCGAATAGAAGAATACTTTTGTCCTGTAGTGTAGTTCACTAAGGTCTTCAATATGTACTAAGTTTTAATTCAAAAGCAAGCGAACATTTATGAGTGTTTCCTCATAGGTGACATAGCAGATGAATCTTTTCGTTTTCTGTATTTACATGAAGTCAATTAATATGATTTCTTTACTGAATATCCATCGTACTAAAAAACCATATATGTTTTTATCAACAGACAAAGTCATTCTCACTGTTTCACTCTCATATCGATTAGAAATGAGCTTTTTTAGAGTTCGAAAAGTAAATTCTTACTAGAAATATTCATTGTTATTGTCAAAAATTCGTCGCTGTTAATAGTATACCCGCATTTTGCATTTGAAGAATAAATATCTTTCGACAATAAATAAGAGTGTTAGGATCGAAAATTCACGTGTCGTTTATTTGTTGCCAAATATAGTTTTGTCATTCTGTTTAAATAAGGAATAGATTATGTTAAATGTACACTTAGAACGAAAGAAGAAAAAACTGAAAATTCCATGCTTCACTGTACTTCACCATACCTGTGAATTATGAAGTTGTCGCCTTGCCCCATTTGATAAGAATAAACGATAAAATTTTGTTGTATAGATACTTACGAATCAGTTTGATAGGAAATCGATAACTCACGATTACTAATACAGCAAGGATAATTTCAACCTTTCACCGAAAATGAAAGAACGAGGCATGGTTTATTCCAAGGGGATATTCGTGCACTCACACCTTGACATTGTGAGTAACACAGAATACCTTTATTTGCGGGGGCTTTGTGATGTGTTTAATTTGAATATATATGTTTGCTTGACATTATGCAGATTCTAGTTGTAATCTGAACAAATGGCTCAATTAAATCTACCACTTCGTATAATTGCTCAACCGAAGGCATCATCTCGCGAGAGATATTTATGTGAAATGGATCGTAGTCGTAATCGATCACATCGTTTTATTCGTGCTGAAAGCAATCCAAATCATTTGAACTATCCTACAATTGAAGTAAATAGACTTTAAAATCGTTTTATTTATTTATTTCTAACATGATTTTTAACTAGATACCAAAACAATGGGATAGTGAAAACTTATTTATTCGTGTCACATTAGTAACTGTATGCAGCGAACAAGTGCCTGTGGTGTGCGTACATCCTTATCCAATCAGTACTTCAGAACCAAATGTTATAGAAGACGCAAGAAGAAATACTCTTTATTTTCCAATATCCAAAGAAGAATTAAATGATGGTTACAAGAGGTGAGATAAAAAAATTGAAACCACTTTCTAAATACTTTACTTTGTTGTTTTGTAAAATTTAGTTTTCAAATTATTCGTAGAAAATTAACCTATTATGAATTAAGAAATTACGGAGAATTTTCTCTTTTGAATACAGGTAATGAAATAAGTTCAAAAAAGAAATGTATCTATTAATTATTTTTTGTTCTATAGATGAAAAAGATATTCTACGTACAAATGATATACATGATGCTCGAAAAGTAATTGATGTTTATCAATTAGGGAAATCTCAATTACTATTTTCGATAGCTGAAAAATCTAATGATGATCTATTACCTGGTATCTATGACGAAACATCTGTATATTCTCATATAATGACTGCTACTACAGCAACACCTACGAATAATGACGAATCGTTAGTTAGATTTGTACCTAAGAAAGGATGTTGGTTCGGCGGTGATGATATTTTAATGGTTATTCCAAAACTTGATAAGAGAAAAGGTAATCTTTCAGTATCATTTTTTTCGTATTGTTGTTTAATTCAACCTTTTATTTTTCTCTTCTAGTATGTCAAGTATGTTTTGAATGCCCGTCATCAAATGAAAAAAGTTGGGTTCATTTCGAATTTGTGGATATGAAAACAATTGCATTCACAACTCCACCATGTCCTACACAAGACATTGGAAATCAAAATATAGAAATTCCAATAGTTATTAGTCAAAGTGGTGAAGAAATTGCACGTGTTAATTTTCTCTATCAATCACGTAAATAACTTGGATTTTTGTGGCAGTATTGAAATATCTCCTTTTTCTGTTTAGCTGATAAATGTTCAAATTGTGATATGGATTTTCTGTTCGATTCTTCCAATTCATCAATCTCTGACGATCGATCTTCACCATTACTTATGCATTTAGATGATAGTGACATTTCTATAAAACCTAATGATCTGTTTTTTGATGTGAACTGTTAATCTAAAATTATGAATTTCATTTTAATCGGTCATAATGTAAGAAGTGAAAAATAACTTTTGATGATGGCACAGAAGTCCATGCTATGTGACTCGTTTTTCAAAGATAAAATAAAGCTCATTTTTTAAAAGGAAAAATGTTTGTAATTTTGTTATAACGACCATTTGTATGTCTATTTCTTACGAAAAAAGAAATTCTCGAAGAAATATGTGCCTGTTCTGTTCTTTCATGCTTCAATGAATCTTAATGAATGATTCATATAGTTTGGATTTTTACGTAGGAGAAAAACAACACAAAAAAAGCAACTTTGAATTTGTTTTTATGATATTCCTTTTTCTCGGTTTCCATTTACTCACGAGAGTTGGAATAGGAATATTTCAATAAATTATGATACAAAATAAATCTGATATCAAAGATATTATAAAAATAGAAGATTTACAGGAAACTTAATCTATTGTTAATTACTAATGGTGATATTCCTGTTGATCATGACTCATATCCAGAGAAATAAATAATGAGTCATGCGGACTAATATGTTATGAAGAAAACATTACTGGCTAAAACAACCTGTTGCTGAAGTCCATAAAAAATTAAAATTAAAAATATGATCGAAATCGATTTTAATATAAACAAGGATATTGAAGATATATTATATTTTGTAATTATAAAATATTAAATATCCATCAGATTTTCATAATAAACAGTTAACACCATTGATCTTATTTGTCTTAACTATTACATAAGACAAAATAAATATCGAATTAAGTACTTAATAAGTAAAAATGAAACATTATAATTCTTATCTACCTATATAATTAATCATGATTTCAAAGTACAATATTTAATTTATAGAATTTTACAAGGGAACATTCTCAAATGTCGAAGCACTTTTGAATCAGAAGTTAGTGCATATTGTAGACCTCAGTGAACTATGTTTATCATGAGAAAAAGTTCGTGCTTATGGTTTGTTTCTGAAGAGATTGAATATTTTTACTATAACAGCCATAATGGTCATCTTATTAGAAAAAAAATCACGATCTCCAGCAATACAAATTAAAACGAGTAGAGATTTTTTTCACATATAGTCGTACTCATGTGTAAGATCATTTGACATTATGAGCACAAGAAAGTTTAGAAAAGTACAACTATCAATTTCAGAAAATGTTAACGATGTACTAAATGTCAATTATTATAGCACTTCTTAGAATTATGAGGTATATGATCGAAAATTTTAATATATTGAGTATTTATGTTGCAATAGAATTTTGAGTGTTTGATAATTATGGTTTACTACGATAATCTATTCACTTTTCGTTAAATTCTGATATCAACAATATGCTTATATTCTAAGTTAAATATACAACAATCTGTTTCGCACACGAATGATGAAAAGTGTTCAATGAAAACCAATGAACTAGATAAATGCGAATGAATAGAACAAATTTATACCATTGGTTTGATAACCTTGATGTCAATTTGAGTGAATGTAATGACATCATGTGCAGTCAATCTCATTTACAATCAACTGTGCGCTCCTGTTTTCCAACGGATGTTAGACTATGCTTGGCAAGCAAGTGGATATAGAAATAATCATTCAGATTCTTTTTTATCTGTCAAGGAAGTTTGCTTCACTTTTCCTAATGTTGCATGTAATGGTGACTATTGTAAATCCTCTCCATTCATCGGCTGCAGCTGACGCAGAAATAACTTTTGCTTTCAACTATGTTGCTTCGATTATCACTTTCAAAATAGTCTCTATAGTTTAGTCTAAAAGTACTTATTTTGTGAGATACAAAGAAGTTTCATTTGTTTTTCTTTTTCACTCGGTAGGTAACGCTATCGATACACTTTGTTGTTATCAGAATTTAAGGAAAAATGAATATATTATAATAGCAAACCACAATGATCAAGTATTCAAAATTCTATTGCGACATAAATGCTCAATATACTAATTTTTTTGATAAGATGATTTTTATAGCTGTTATAGTAAAAACGTGCCGACCTTGTCAGAAACAAGCCAAAATCTCATGTTCCATTTAAAAAGACAATCCTACATATGGTTTACCTGATCTTGAAAACATATATATATATGTGTACAGATCCGTTGCATAGATTGTTTCACGAGATGTTTGGATTGCTTCAATTTTCAGTTCTCTAGGAGTCATTGTACGAAAGAGACGACTCAAATGCGGGTCATGCGCTTAATTGATTTCAAGAATCTCAATGAAATTTTGTTTGTATGTAGTCTTGAATAAGATGTAAAAATGTCAAAAATTTTGGTTTTCTAAAACCATTCTCATATTAAAATATTTAATTTATACCATAGGCATCCTCAAGCAAAAAGTAAGGATAACTAATGTAGTGCTCATGCATTGTTTATTTCACCATTATTCAACAATAACATTTTTAGCCATGAAATTTTGTGGCTATAGTAGAGCCCTGCAATTCCGTAAAAATGGAACCCAGAAGCGAACAGGAACCGAGATTTTTTAGTTTCTGTTAACCGAAATCGGAACCGAAAAATTTTAACTAACAACTGAAGAATTGTTTAAGTTTCGCATAATCTGAAGTGGGAAAGACTAATGTGTACTTGCATCAATAGAACACTATATATTTTTCTTGCTATCAGATGGAAAAAGAAGTCGAAAATAGCTGAAAGCATGCTTAAGACCCTTAAAAATATCTACCATTGTGAATAAATCTTTTTTGCAGAATAGACATGATTCGATAGTCCAATGTGCCCGCCCCATCGTACTCATTATGGCTGTCAGCTATGTCCTTGTTAAAAGTTAGGCTTTTGTCATCAGTGATGGTTTTTCATCTGAAAAAGTCGATTTTTCTTACAGTAGTCGTTCGGTTCCACGTCTTCTGAAATATCGTTTTTGTTTGAAAGTTCATCTTTTCAAAGATAATGTTTGCCTTTGAAGAAAACTTTATCAAAGTTTGTCTTTTTTAAAATATTTCTCAGCTTTATTGAGAAATTTTTGACTTTACATGACACACGACTGGCGAACGAAGGAAATTAAAAAATTATTCATGAACGTTACTAACCTCCAATGTCTTCTGTTAAATAAAAAACGAATAATATTCTACAGTTGCTTTGGCTAAATGTTATAGGAGATGCGACAGAGGCTGAAGATGAGCACTATAAATATACTAAAATTGTCCTAGATCCTACTATATAAAGCTGAGCTTTCTCTTTATATGTTACTAGCCACAGCTCCCAATGCTTGCCAAAAGTTTCAGCTCAATATGATGGTGTGCTACCGAAAAGATTGTACAGCTGACTCAAAGTCTTAATTTTGTCATTCCTGTCAGTGATTGCCTTATCGTTTGCAGAAATTGCGTTTTCTTATATAAAAAATATTAAAAATTCCGAAAAAATGGAACATAATTTAGAAATTGATAGATAAAAATTATTATATTAGTTATCTTCTATACTATTATTCGATCAGTGACTCCTAAAATATTTTTAAGGAACTGAAATTGGAACCATTTTTTCAAGATTTCAGGAATCAGAGTCGGAACCAGAGCCGACGGTTCAGTTCCGGGTATTCTTTTTGGAACCACAGAGTTCCACCACACCTAAATCCATACTAGCACATACCTACAGCCAGAAGAACACACATCCACGTCCAAATTCCATTCAACAAAGACATTTATCTATTATAAAACGCACATCATTACATTGACTTTTAGGCTCCTTAGATAATGCAGCATAAGAAACAGAGATTCTATTTAGGTTTCCATTCTTTCTCGATTTGAGCTGTCGAACATTCTTCAGAATAAATAAATTTTACATAAATTTGGATTATTCTTCCCGTGTGTGGCATTTTTCAAATTATTTTCCTTTCGAAACCTAAATATTATTTTTCAATAACTAAATCAAAATCAGCAAACTGTTGTAAATGGTTTCTTCTGAATTAGTTGAGTTTTTAATCTCTAATATTCGATCTAACATTATTTTCAAATGGAACAAAGTTGTGATCATCCTCTCATCAAACAATTTCATCTGTATTTAAAATTCTGTCCTATGATGAACATATTGTCTTTTTGATAGACACTCAACTTCCGCTAAGTGTTAGATCATCAAGTAGAATTTGATTGAAAAGCCAAATGAAATATATACCAAACAAGAATATATTATGGTTTCGTTGTCATCTTGTAGAAAAAGTTACTAACATCTGCTATCTGATAAAAGAATCAGCAGCTTCCAGAATTTTTTTTCATTTCGACAGTAATTGAGATCATTCTATAAATCTCCTTATACTTATTATTGTTAAACAATAGGCACTAGGCTAAAGGCAAATTATTCGTTGAGAACGAGTTAGAGAGCCAACTCTTCAGAACTATGGTTCTTATTTGATACATTTAAAAAATATTATATACTATCAATAGATAAGTAAAAATAAATCTCGATAGTGCCTCATTGCTTATAGGTATAAATAAAAATCTTAGACAACTAGGATCAATACGACTCCAAGAATATTGCAATATCCATGTAAAGGTTACTTGCTATAACTGTTCAACATTTTTCAAAAGACTTATTGATTGTTGTTTGTCTCATAATCTTATACAAAAGTGGTGAAATGAATGATTACTATGGTTTAAACTTGATTTTTTCTCATATAGCAATGAACAAATATGAATTCAATCTGAAGACTTTGATGTATCGTTATATTATGAATAACATAGCTCGAAACAATCATTGAATTTTTCGAATATAATCTTAATTAAGCTAAGAATATAAATGGTGGCAATACAATGTTTATTATCAAAGGGAAGTTTTTATCTGTTTTCTCAATCAAATAAATTACTTTGTCTTAAATCTTATTTATCATAATACCAAACTGAAAAATCTATTTATACGATCATATAATTTTATTTTCAGTGTCATTTCACAATATAATTGTGTCAAAATCTTAGCTGATTCTTAATTCACTTATGTCTTCAGCGATGAGAGAGAAAAAAGGAAAAAAAAACATGAACAGCTATTAGTAAACAGGACAGACAAAAAACCGGAAGTTCAATTACTTGTGTATTCATAGTAAGGACTAGATTCAATTCTTTTCATTATATTTATCAAGGAATTGTCTTTTTAAATTTTCATTCACAGCTGGTTAAGCAGATGAAATAGTCCTACAAGTGTAAGGAGTTTTCTATTCTATACTTTTTTTTTCTTTTCATTAATAACTAAATACACTTATTAGAGCCACATACTCAATGTCAATATGTTGTAACAGCGCATTTTTTTAAAACTAAATCACTATGTCAGAATAAGCTTTTTTTTTTAGAGTAAAAATACGAATTTGATACAGAAAAATCATCTCAGAAGAATTTGCATAAGAAACAATATTTCCTTGTTTTTGTTTTATTCAAGATTTTCAAGAGAGTAGTTATCAATCAACTCAGTTTAACAAAATAATAGTTTGTTTTCTTGTTATGACAACCTCCATGGAGTCAGAGAAAACTGATAGGTTTCATTTTCATTTAGTAGTAGTCATTATTATTATTCTTTTAATTTGTTTTTTGAGAAGGAAATGAAAACACCATGATTCTCCGATAGTTTATCTTTCTGGAGAAGAATATTTTTAACTTTTAATAGACCATTAGGTGTAGAAATTTTTTATAAAATTTGATCTAGTTTAGAATAGAAAATAAAGTAAGAAATTGTTTAGTAATATATTTGAAACATTTCTTGAAATATTCATTGTCAAATAATCTTATCAGAAAGTAATAAAAAAAATTTAAGCAAACAAAAATTTTCAGTATATAATGAATATCTGTATACTAGAATAACTTTGAAAGGATCCAGACTCAAAGATCTTCCATACAGAATTACGACAGTTTTGTTAGATTTTTACTAAACGATGGGATCTAAAAGTGTCAGTGAAAATGGTTGTTTCATTCTTCAGATATTCCATGTTCAGAATATCATAATTTTTCTCACCGTTTCTGATATTTAATCGGCTTTTGAATACTGAATATTTGATGAAGGAATGAATCGTTTTCACTGACACGATCAAGATATTTTTAGAATTGAAAATCCAACAAAGATTTCTTTTAACTGTGTAGGGTAGATGCTTGAGCATGAATTCTTCTGAGACTCTTCTAGTTAAGAGATTCTACACATATTCAAAATACGAACTATACAGCAGCGGTGAATCTCATAAATCGAGTTTTCCTCATTAATTTTTTTTTTTAATTATATTTGTTCACTATGTATTCTAAGTTCATTTTGCAATGTTCACGCTCTATAGAAAACTATTGAGCTAATATATGTTCTCTACGTGCATTTTTCTATATGACAGTGTTTACTGATGCTGTGATCATAAGGAAAGACGTCTACAACAAAAAAGTTCTGTTTAAACACATGCCCGGCTGAATGTGTATTGTATCTGTTGTTCCTTTTTTTTGCCTACTTAGTTTATCTGCATAACTCTTGAAACTTTAAAAATATCTCACGACAAGCATCTGAAAAGATATTTCGAGAATATGTAATGTCAAACTGATACGCTATGTATCCATTATCCGTGTACAAAAGATGAAAAGAGAAAGGAAAATTTATCAAAATGTTTCCACAAAAAGAGAATCACTATTATTGTCATCTTATGTCTAGATAATTATATGTGAATATGTGTACTATACATAATAATATAAATATTACAGTAGTTGAAAATGACCAAGTTTAACAAACTCTTTCTTGTGTATAATCTTAATTAATACTTAGATTCCAGATGAGTATTGACATGACAGGTAACTTTTTCTGTAGAAGACAGAAGATAAATTATTCATATTTTTCTTTATTTTCATATTTCCTACATGTTCTATATTAAAAGAAAATCAAGAATGTCTCAAACAAAATCTGTGAATCTTCTTTTTGATTAGATCAAAATGAAAACATTTTAGCGATTCTCATTTATATAAAGCAAAAATTATAAAATGTTGATTTACTATTTTTCTTTGATTTTTGTTCATTTTGTTTTTTTTTATAGATCGAAAATTTGTTATTCTATTTGCTAATTGTGTTATTTATTTTTGTACAATACAATAGAACTTTCTTCGAAAATGTTGTACGGCATTGTCATGGATACTATTCGAGACAGTATTCTACGTTCATATGGAGCGATTATGTGGAGACGTATTGTACAAGAAGTTGATTTACCATCGGAAACATTTGAATTTTATTCACGATATGATGATAGTCTACTTATAAAAATTTGTGATTGTAAGTTAATTTCAATTAATTTCGTAAACTAATATTCATTTCAATAGGTATGGTAGAGATTTTAAATGATGGTACACGTGATACATATTTGGAATTCTTCGGTACAAATTTTATACATTATTTTTACAGATATGGTTTTGATAAAATACTTCGCGTAGCTGGACGAACATTACGTGATTTTCTTTTTGTTATTGATGAATTACATGACTCAAATCGATATATTTTTCCACAAATGAAACATCCATTATTTCATGTTACCGAAGAAGATGAAAAAGGAGCAACGCTTGTTTATAAGTAAGTAATTAATAGCAATGTGTTCTATTCAGACTTTCTGTGCCGAAGAGGCGATTTAAAATTCCGAGAAGACGAAATGAATCTTCGGAATGGATGCTGCCTCCTCGACGTTCACACTGAATAAAACATTGATTAACTGTTTTTATTTGAGAGCGAAAGTATGTTTAGAAGCACACGTCATGGTCTTACTCATTTTGCTATCGGTGGACTCAAAGCTGTAGCTTCATTGATATATAATCAGAAAGATATTCATGTAATTGTAAAGCATAATATGTCGACTGATGATTGTACGTACTATTATGAATATTGCTTACAGATTTTGTTTTCATTGGATTTTATTAGATTCGCAAATTGCCATTTGGATACAATTTAATAATAAGATGTTTGAAATAAAACGATCGTTTAATTTTCCATCTTTACCCGATCTAAGCCTTACAACTTTCCTTCAAGTAAATAGAAAAAATGTTATATTATATTGAAAATTAAATATCGTATTCAAAATATAGGTATTTCCATTTTCCATTCTTATGGATTCATCGTTACGTATTCGTCATATGGGTAAACATATTATAAAAGCTTTTCCTATTGAGACGCCTTTGATTGGACGATTATTAAACGACGTCTTTCAGCTTATTCAACCTGACATTTTTTTCGAATGGGACAAAGTATGTTGTGATTATTCTCTTGACAAACACTATCACCTGTATTTAAGATTCTTTCTTATGGTCAACATATTGTCTTTATGATGGAAAATCGACTTCCACTACGTATTGGATCATCTGGTAGAATTCGATTGAAAGGTCAAATGAAATATATACAACACAAGAATATGTTATGGTTTCTATGTCATCCAGTGTGAGTTTAGGCTTGTGTTTTTTTAGTCATTAAATATATGAAAAACAAAACAAAAACATTTTCAAATATTATAGTTTAGGAATTGTAGACGATATAATTTCAGCTGGATTACATTTGACTGATTTGACTTTGTTTGATAGTACAAGTGGTCTACTGATTACTGGTACGAATCAAGAACAACAATTGGAGGAGACTACTCTCAGAGTTAGTTTTACTATTTGTTAATTTCTTTTTAATTCTCTTCAACGTATTAACATTTGATAGCAAAATGTGTGGACGAGAAAAGCATCAGGTATACGAAAAAAATTAAGTTCAAGTCATAAAACAAATCAAAGTTTACTCTATTCAACTATGCCAAAGCATATTGCACTTTTACTTCAATCTGGTGTACAAACGAATAGTATCAGTGAAGTAAGTCATATCGTATTTATTTCATTAAATTGAAATATCTTAGATTTTTTTTTAGTGTCAACCTTCTGTTAGTATCATGTTTATAAATGTCATGGATTTAAAAACATTAACTGATCATCTTGATGCTGCTCATGCTATAACATGTCTTAATAGAATTGTTATTTTATTTGATGCTATTGCTGATAGATATGATGCATTCAAAGTAGAAATAAATGCAGATGGAAGTTATATGGTTGTTGCAGGTATACATGATCAAGCATACACCCCTCGAGCGCAAAATGAATCCCAATTAGTAAGAATGGCTGTTTTTCTTTTTCAATCAAAATTAAGAATTCTATTGTGTATATTTATAGTCATTGATGTCGTCAGCGAAAGGAGAAGAAGATACCAAAGAAGAAAATGCCAATGAAAACAAAAATTTATTTGAACCCAATTCAACTGAAATTATTGCAGCATTATCACTTGAACTTTTACAAGCTAGTGAAGATGTTCATAATTCCATAACGAATAAACCATTTGGTGTTAAATTTGGTAAGAAATATAACAAAGCAATTCATATATATTGATCATATTTCGAAAAACTAGATTTTACATGTTTTTATTTTTTGTTAAGGATTTCATTCCGGCATGGCTATAGGTGGTATTGTTGGTACACGAAATTATCAATATTGTCTATTTGGTGACACTGTTAAAATAGTAAGTTTTTAATACATATATATATATATATCAGAGATCCGCGAAATAGTCTCGCGGTTCACACTCTTCTTTTGTTTTTTGCTCTGTGAACGCATTTTGCAAAGGAAAATTCGTTTCTTCAGTGTTTTTTCCAGGACGTCTCAAACCATGTAATAGTGTAGCGAGCGAGGCTGCCTTGCAGATATCTGATAAACATTCTCATGTAATATGCTTTGTTTTTAGGCAAGTCAAATGACGACAACAGGCGAGGTAAATATGATAAGACAATACTAATGAAATATTCAGAGATTTTTAGGTTGGTCGAATACATATCAGTCAAGCAGCATACGGTCATTTGGTGGGAGGTAGACGTTTTACAATGGAATATCGAGGTCAAGTCTCTATTGAAGTATGTTAATAGGTATAAATTAATTTAATATAGCTTTTGAAGTATTTTAGAATAAGGGGCCAGTCGATACATTCTGGTTGACAGGCTCAAATGTGATATCACCTACTACAAAAATCAATAAGAATGCAATATTATCGAAATGTCCATTAAGTAATTTCAATTTGGTATTAGAATAAAACATATTTAATTATGAAACGATTCTTTATTACATTGTATCAAAAAATATTTTATACATATAGATGAATGTTTTTGTAAAATATAAGATTCAATGAAACTATTATTGGATGAATCAATTTTAGTAGAATTCTTGAGAAATATTTAGAATATAAACATAAACTCAACTTCTCCTAAAAAGATTCGATACATTTTATGCGAGTAACTTAATCCAACTAAGATATCTTTTTCAAATATTTTAAAAATCAATATTGAATAAAAATGTGCAAAAATAAATGTTTATTGAAGTATCATATTACAGGTAGGGAGCTGCGGATCCACGTGTTTTGTGCAGTCGGACTCGCGGCTTTCTATTCACAGGACTGAATGAATTTATGACAAATGATAAGTTCTCGGTATCATAAAAAACTATTTTGATAGTTGTTATTGTAGAATTTCTATAGTTTATTGATTGTTTTTTTTTCATTCCAATCCCTGTTGATATCAAGATGTGGTGTAAACAATATTTCTTTCGTCTATTTTTGGTGGCACATTATAAATGATTTACTAGAGTTACTAACGATTTTCTTATTAAGGAAAACACATTCCAGAAATTTTTGCTTTGTCCCATGTGAAAAAAAGTATTTTCAAGGTCACAGACGCAAACAGCGAGGAATTCGTTCATATAGGTTAATTAAAACCAGGTTTTTATCAATTGAGAATGTTTTTCTCATAAAATGTACTTTGAAAGAAGCACTTTATAAAGATTTTTTAATGCATAAGACTAACTCGACCGGAGGAAGAAGAAATTGAGGATATAAGACTTCCTTAATCATAAAAGATTTATGATTTCTTTTACAAGCGAAGCTGAAAATATTTTTTCTCTCTCAAAAACATTGGAGCAGTCTTTCAATGTTTCGTGACAGGGCCTTTCCGTAACGACATTAGCGTGTAAAATTTATTTTTTTTTTGTAAGTAAAGAACAAAACGGAAACACACATACACAAAGGAACTAACATCTGACAGGCTCTTTTAGGTCTAAATATTCTTTATTAGTTTGTGTACTTACTAAACCTGCATATGCCTTGACAGATCTCATAAGTAAATCTTTCATTTGAAAGAATGATTGACTTAACAAGCAGACGGCAAACACTTAAATGTCAATATACTAGTATCACACGCAGAAATGTCGGTCAATTGCTAATTCTAATAATGACCTTTCGTTGACATTAATTCACGAATCAGTATGATGATAATAAGGTTTTACGTTAGTGTTTAGTATTATTCTTAATCAACTTCCATTTTACTATGATATTTATATTGTGTACACATCTTTTACTCGATCGTATTTAAACAACATCAACGTAAGACACGTAATATTTTACAGTGTATTTTTCTGACAGAACAACAGTGTAAAATTGCTTATGATTCTTCAGCATAGTCATTAGTACATTGTTTTCAAAAAAAGGACATATAAGACTTGGTACTATTAATAATCTTTTTGTTGGCATCATTAGGCAAGAATTTCTCATTACTTTTGTATGATTACCTGCATCTTTTCTAATTTGTCATGCACTAGTTAATTTCATGAATTTTTTTACTTTCTGATGCTCACTAATTACACACTACCTTTTGTATCTTATTCATCATGCTAGAATTGCTAATTAGTTTGTTAGTAACAAGCAGAGAGCCATAACTAGAGGATTAAAAAACCAACACTGTAAATTAGGAATGTTATTTTTGAAAAATATTAAAGCAAGATTTATGATAATATTAGTTAATTTATTCATATTAATCCCTCCCTCCCACAATAAAAGACCCGGAATCTTCTATTATGTTCAGACGAAAACAATTTTTAGGGGGGTTTTGTATTATGTCTCTCGTATTTTGATAATTTTTAATTTAAAAAGAGTTGCTTAGAAAACCGAAACAATTTTGAAGATTCGTGAACAGGCTTTCACGATTTTCAATGCTCAGATATAGCGTTGAACTCATCGATTTTAGATTTTTAGCTCAAAAACTCTCAAACTATACATGTTTGACTGCAAAATCCCTACTTAAAGTACTCAGTTTTCAAAAAAATTATTAATTAAATCGGGAGTCTTCTATTACGTTGGAAAATATTTTTTCTCAAGGGGGTCTTCTATTATGGAAGAGGAGGGGAGGGGGTTCTCTGAATTATTTTTAGTTTTGAAGACTTCTTTGTATCGATGGTATGAACTTAAGTGTCAGTGCAATTAATCATTTCCATTTCCTTTTTCTTAATATAAAGTTCTAATCAATTTGTTACGCATTTATGATTGACTTTTCACACTTTTTTTTATGATAAAATAGAACTTTTGACTTCAATTACAGATTATAATTTGTATTTCTATTCATTCTGAACAGTTTAATAGCTTCTCTTTGTGTTCGTTCATGCTAGCAATTTGAGTTAGGATAGAATAATGTTACGCAGGAAAGGTACACGCTGCGCGTATTTGTTAATGGGAAAAGCAAGGAAAGCATCTGTGATTATGATCAAGAAATATCTAAATCAATTCAAATATTCTTTCACAAGCAAATTGAATAACCACATTTGATTATTGTATTGTATAATCTTATTTACATTAATTATATAATATGAAGTGTACTTTATTTTTTTATCGATTCTCATAATTTATAATTGAGAAATGAATGTTCGTCATATATCAAAGCGATCATGTTGGTATTACACTAGAGAAATGTAACATATTCGAATTCTTCTTCAAAATACGTAGACTAAATGCTTTGATCATTAAAAAAATTCGCTACAGAATATAGATTAATGTGTATGCATGGTATGTGAAAATATGTACTTTATTACATAATGAGTACATTCTTTTTTATCATTATCTATATTTATATCTTCTCAAATAATTTATATTATCATCATTCTCTCAAACGTTTTTGCTTCAGAAAAGATTCATTTTCCTTTTTACCTTCAGGTTTTCATGAATCTTCAGGAAGAAATATCATGTTATAATCGTTTATATATGTTAGGTTTCACAAAGATGAATATTTTATATTTATATAGATAGCACGAAAAAAAAGTCATTTATCCATAATCACTAAGCTCCAAATCTTGAATTTTTTTCACTTAACCTTGTCAGACAAACCTAAATTTGATCTTTACCAAAACATGTATGATATAAGTTTAGCTCAAGTAACACATTTTTGATAATGTTTTTTAAAAAATGGAATGTACAGACGAACAGAAAAGGAATTTTATCAAAGAAAAATGACGTATCTATAAAATATTTTTGAACCGATGAAGATCGGCTGGTTCGGTTACAACTCTGCGATGAATCTTGTATTATTTTCAACGATAATTATTGTGAACAAAAGTTATCAAGCTAATATCAGTTTTAAAATATAACGTTGACATTAAATTCTAAAGAACTTCATTTTATTAGAAGTTCCATAACATGTTGATTTAAATAGCGTAATCGATTCTATTTCTACTATATACATTATTACTTGCGGCAAAACTAGATAAGATAATATTTGTCCAATTCTACAGTAATCATCGATTAGATGGTGTTAGTAAAAGAGCAACTCTTCAAATTAAATACTATTGACATAAATAGAACAATTGTCTTAAAGTGTTTTGTTTGAGTCTCACTTTATTGTCAATCATTCTGATAGATCAATAAAGATGATTTTAGAAAAACACAACTGAAGAAGAATTCTTTTTTTTTTTGCAGTTGTTTTATCTCTAAAGAAAATGCAGCTAGCGCCCTCGTCAAAGTCTTCTATGTAATTGGGTCAACCTATCTATTTAAGAGATTGTGAGTGAGTTTCTAGGCTTTTTTTTTCTTATCAACTCTTGTTTGAATATCTAAGACTCAGAAGTTTATTTGAAGTATCATGGCAAATCTGAATGTTATTGAAGCTGTTCGTTTGTACATTATGCGAATGATTGAAGATTGTGGTCAAAATATCAAAGGATTTGTTATGGATAAAGAAACGGTTTGTCATAATAATACATATTTTATTAATAGTTATAAGATTGTTTAAAGGCTTCAATTGTTAGTATGGTTTATGCTCAATCGGAAATTCTTCAAAAAGAAGTTTTTCTTTTCGAACGTATTGATACTATCGGACCAAAAGCATTGAAACATTTAAGTGCTATCTGTTTTTTAAGACCTACTAAAGAAAATATTGAAGCATTAGTGCATGAATTACATGAACCAAAATATGGAAGTTATCATATTTGTATGTAATTTTATATTCTTTGATTGTTTAACTAATTAAGAAAAAAAACGAAACAATTTGATTTAGTTTTTAGTAATTTTGTTGAACTGAATTATATTAAAGATTTAGCTGAAGCCGATGAGTTTGATTGTGTACGAGTTGTACAAGAATTTTATGCAGATTATTTAGCCGTCAATCGACATTTATATTCACTTAATATTCCAATGACGTATCAAGTAATATGAAATGAAATAGAATGAATTTGTTTTTAATATTTTGTGTGTATTAGAAAAATTATGAATGGACTGATATTCATCTTCGTCGAACAGTTCAAGGTCTTATATCATTATTACTTTCATTAAGAAAACAAAGTGCAATAATTCGTTATCAAAAATCATCAAATATGGCACGAATACTTGCTGATAAATTATCTGTAAATTATAAAACAAAAATAATTACATTATAAAATAACTTTTTTTTTCTTGGCAGAGTACTCTGATACGTCAAGCTGACTTTGTCACATCAAATGTGAATGATATAAATCAAACAATTCTTTTAATTGTCGATCGACGTGAAGATGCAATAAGTCCATTACTTAATCAAGTTGTTTTTTTAATATAGTTATTTAAAGAAAACCAAATACTGTATCTTTTAGTGGACATATCAAGCAATGGTTCATGAATTAATTGGTATAAGAAATAACCGTGTTAATCTCAGTCAAGTACCAGGAATTAAAAAAGAACTTGAAGAAGTTATAATGAATGCTGAATATGATGAATTTTATGCAAATGTAAAGAATTTATCATTATAT